ATGAAGATTAATTATATTATATACAAAAATATTAAATATTAATTAACTTTCAAATTTCTTCAGAATTTATATAATTTCTCACGCATATAGACCTTTAAAATATACTTCCTCTAAAATAAATAATTTAATATCGTTTATTTTATAGTTAATACCATCGCTTTAGATAGTTTTTTCCATATATTGAAAGATAAAATTATTATTCTCTTTCTTGTATTTCCGCTTTTTGTTTTAATAGTATTATTATGAATTTAGAGTGACAATGTATTTTAATTTCAATAATTATCGATATAAATAGGGAAGTAGGAACCTGCATTCTGAAATGATCAAAATTTCGATTAATTGTTGCGATACGTTGTGCATCCAAATTCCAATTGCCGATAACTTCACCACTTAACACTGATAATGTTTCCGACACTACCTTTTTGAAAATTTTGAATTATCGATTAATTTGAAATATTAAAAACCCTCATGATGATAACAGTTTGTCGATGATTTATTACGATTTGTTTGAAACAACAATAATCAGTGATCGAAATTGATAAGCGATAAGAATTAATGATCACTGGACCTGTTCCTTTGGTGGTTCATAATCGACGCTACTTGTTGATATTTCTTTAATCATTTGATACGCCAATTTAGAGCCAGAATGAAATATGTGAAATGCTGTAGTTGCATCAGTTTCACGATAAGCTGTCATTGCAATACCACCTGGATGCTTCGCCAACGTTTTTTCATCAATATGCAACCATTTACCGTTGATTTTGATATTGAATGGTTCTGTTGTCACTTGACCTATTACCATATCTATAATTCCGGGAATGCTTCCTGATTAACATCGTATTTTAGGCTGCACGTTTTGTACTTTGAAAGCATCCTATTTCAAGTTGTTAGGAATCCTGGAAGATATTTCTTGATCATGGTAGGTAAAGCATGATCTATTTTCAGCAAGCTTAAAAGGATTCTTATCATATTTAATAATAACATCGAAATGCTACCAATATCATCAAAACTATCATCAATCATTTCAAATTACAAATATGTAAATATGATAATAAACATGATATTTAATGATAAAAATAAATGAATAAACCAAAGGAATGAAAAAAGAAAAAACATCGAGAATACTGTAAATCAATAATTCATGAATTTTTATTCTGGTTGCTAATTTTAAAATCACAAAAGAAATAATGCAACATAATTATTATTAAGATAATGAAATGTATTTGATAATAATAAAAATAAACTTAATGAATACCTGTAATTATTAAAATACACGTTTTTTTTCCCTCCTCTTTTTTCAACCTTTTAGATTATACCTTTTCTTTGCAAAATTACGAAATTATTTCTATTTTTAATTTTTAAATATTTCCTTCCATATATTTAAGCATTTTTTTTTAAGCTTACAATTAGCAATTTATTATTATAAAAATTCATTTACCATTAATAAAATAAAAGGAAAAAAAAAATAAAAGACAGAGAACTTTGATAAGTGTTACAGCATTAAAACAATATCAGATATGACATTGGGGTCGATTCAATAATGATTCTGGAAACCTGTTGCTCTTTGATGTAATGAAATAAATAAAACGTTACACCCTCTCCTTCCTCTTCTCTTTCACTCCTATCAATCTTCGAACTAAATTTAGCAACTGAATAAATACTTTAATGGATGAGTAACAGGGAAAATCAATGCAAACATATAAAGTTTCATATTGTTGTATGTGTATTGTAATGATAATAATAGGGATACTAATAGTAGTAGTAGTAGTAGTAGAAGTAGTAAGATAGATAATGAAAGTTATTAATTTTGTTAAAATTTATAGTTTTAAATCAAAAATTAAAATAATTAAAATAGTAGTTGTAGAAGTAGTAGTAGTAGTAATATAAGTATGAATAATGAAAGAATAAAGTTAAATTATTAAAATTGTTAATTTTTGAAAAAAAAAAACTATTAATTAATTTTTTTAGAAATTTCAATGGTTGAAATAATTATTTAAAATGAATATGTTTACTTTGCAAATATTTCAAAAATAAATAAAATAAGATACACACATCCTTCCATCACTTATATATATATGTATAATATCAGATTACAACTTTGATATTTTTATTGTTTGAAAATTTCAGCATATTAAAAAAACAAAGTTAAATGCTAAATTAGGATTGAAATTTTAAATTTATTAAAAAATTATTAATGACTATTGTTTTTAAATGATATTTACTATGGTTTTTATTTTACTTTATAATCTGCTTGAAAAATTTTGCTATGAAATATTTTTCAAATTTCCTCTACTCTATTCAAATTAACTGCTATTCATTTATTTGTTTTTATTAATGTGAAAAATTGAAAATCGTACTAAACATAATTGAAGTCATCAATTTATCACATAATATTAAGCAATCAAATTTCTTATTATCAATAAATATTATTTGACAACATTATAAATATCAGTAAGAAATATTTTGAAATGTTATAAATATTATAAATATTATTTGACAACATCATTATCAATATTATTTGACAGCATTATAAATATTAGCAAGAAATATTTTAAAATGTAATTTTAAATTATAACTAAACTTATGATTAACATGATTGAATTATATTCCTTTCTGATGCTAATTTTTATCATCCATTTCTTCCTCACAATTTATATAAACAAATTTTTTAGAATTTTCAATGTTTATTACTTTTCCTTGCGATTTAATTTTTCAACATGTTGGATTAAAGTATCATTACATAATCATATGGCAAATTTATTTTATCAATGATAGCTTATATAATCTATAATATTTAAGGATAAGAAATATAAGTTTATTATTCATATACGTTTCCTATACGATATAAGTTTAGTATTATATATCTCTTCGTATACGTTAATACTAAGATTTTAGAAAAATGAGGGAATCCAATCCTTGTAATGTTACAATCATTTTGTTGTAATATATCTTCTAAAAAATTTTCAGCAAATTTTGAGATCTTCAATTTCAATTGAAGAATTTGTTTTAAATTTTATGATCGATAAAAGAGAAGAAAATAAAACAATTAAGCTCATATTTCTACAAAGGTAGAAAGAATAGAAGAGGAAAATTTTTCGTTGTAAATTATAAAAATTAAATTTTACCTATAAATTTTTCAACAATTAACAAATTTTTAATTTCAAATTTGCTAAATTTTTTTATCAAAATTTTTATATCTTCTTCCTAATTTAATTACTATTTATTAATGATATGATTTTTCTTTTTCAACTGTTTCATTTATCATTCGATTGATTTGTTTCATCTTATTCAATTTTATCTCTTATCAAATCCAAAGAAAAATCACATCATTAGTATAATAATTTTTCTTAGTATAATAAGTATAATAATCATTAGTACAATAAATTTAGTAATAGTGTTAAAATTTCAAGAGAAATAAAAGAATTAAAGTTAATAATTTAAAGTTGAGAATTAATTAATCGTTCACGTTGAACTACAACAAATTATAATTTTTATTACAGATTTAAACATTTTCATCCGATAATTTTTATTAGTACTCATTTTCATTATGTTAAGTGCTTTTGCTCTTTTTTTCCTTTTGTTTTTGCTGCACTATTTGATACTTTTGTTTTTGCAAATTCTTAAGTTTTAATTACTCAATTATTTTTATTATTGCATTTTGCAAAAAGTGAAAATCTTTTTTTCTCATTTCATATTTTGATAAATTATAAATAAATAAACTGTGAAATTTCCACGTTTTTCAACACAATTCTTATTATCTGTTGTAGGGAAAATTTTTACTTGAATTATCATACATATCGGATATTTTAGAATTATGTCTAAATTTTAATAATTTTACAAGCTTTATAATTTCAATAAATAGCAAAATGAATTCATTATTTGGAAATAATTTAAAAACAAAAGCAGAAAATATTAATTGTATTTGCAAAGACAAAAGTATCTATTGTGTTTATTTGATTAATTATCAAAAAATAAATTTATTTGTAATTTAAGAAAAATCACAAAATGAAATGTAATTTAATGAAGAATGATTAAAGTCTGTCATTTAATTTCCACCGATTTTTTTCATTAAAATTTATTGCAACGATAATATCTCCTTAAAAAAGATAATTTATTGCAATCAATTTTTGACATTTTATGAAATTCAACAAAAACAAAAGGATTTTAATATTCTGTAAGGAATATTTTCATCCTATAAATTGTCAAGAAAATGATGCTCTTGGCTCTTTTTTTTTTTGATGCTCTTGGCTATTTTGCAAATGATGAATTCAAAAAATGCATGATATTTGAAAATTAATTGACATTTTAAAAAATGATTTAAAAATTTCAAGAGCTTTATAAATTCATTAGACAACAATTCAAAAATTGCCAAAAAAATGGCTCTTTGTTTTTGATGCTCTTGGCTCTTTTGACTTTCATGCTCTTGGCTCTTTTCTGATGTTCTTGGCTCTTTTGACTTTCATGCTCTTGGCTCTTTTCTAATGTTCTTGGCTCTTTTGACTTTGATGCTCTTAGCCATTTCGAGGATGTCGAATTCATGAAATGCATGATATTTTAAAATTAACTGAGATTTAAAGAAAAAATGATTTAAAAAATTTTACAAACTTTATAATTTAAATAGTTTAGTTTGCTATGCCATTTATACAGTAAAATTATTTGAAATAAACGAAGAAAAATGGAAGAGAATTGCAAATAGTTTATACAAATATTTGATTGATTTAGAAATTTTCAACGGAAAGAAAATTTCATGAATCATTCGTATCATTGGTATCGTTCCTTTGATTGATATATACTAATCAAATTACAATCAATTTAATTTTATCAAATTTATTTTAATTTTTCATTAAATAAAACAATAAAGTGTTAAATTTTCAAAAAAATTTAAATCACATCAATTATTCATTATTTTATTTGTACCCAAAAAATTTTTGTTTTCACTCATAAATTCAATTATAATAAAATATTAAAGAATTAACAGATGATATAATTGTGATTAAATCAATATTTTTTTGTTTTAAAAATAAAGTAAAAATATTATAAGTTAAATTTTATTTATATAATTGTTTGAATAATTGAAACATTTTGTAATAAATAATAATTAAAAATTAATAGATGATTGTGTTTAAATCAATATTTAATTAATATATGATTGTGCTTAAATCAATATTTTTTTGTTTTAAAAACAAAATAAAAATATCATAAGTTAAATTTTATTTATATAAATTGTTTGAATGATTTTAAACATTTTGTATTAAATAATAATTAATAATTAACAGATGATATGATTTGTTAAATCAATATTTTATTGTTTTAAAAATAAAAATATTATAAGTTAAATTTTTTATTTATATAACTATTTGAATGATTTAAACATTTTGTATTAAATAATAATTATCACACGCATAATATTAAGCTAAATTCCATTGTAGCATAAATTGCTGTTGTTTGTTTGAACAATTTGCTCATTTAAAATGAATATAACTGACAAATGATCGCAATAACAACTATAAAATGTTATGAAATCTAAAACAAAGAAAAAAAACTCAATCAATTAAACATTAATTAATCATTGTTATCAAAAAAAAAAAAAAAAATTTTATTTTTCATTCCTCACTTTTTATCATTAATTGATGAAATACTTGATTAAATATTGTCGTAACAGCTGACTTATTTCTAAATTTTTTATTTAGAAATTATTAAAAAGTAAAATTTAAGTAAATTTAGGTAAACAGGTAACGAATTTAAAAATTACAAATTTATTTACAATTTAATATTTATTTTTTTCAAAGAAAGACTTTCGTA